TCCTTCCCTCTCCCTCTTTCCCTCTTGCATTTTATCATTAAGACCAACCTGAAAGATATATATGCATCATAGTTCCTTTAACTCTCAAGTCTGGAATTGCTCTTTGGTCTTTCAGCAGCATCAGAATTATTGGGCCTTATTTGTGGCAGTGCCATTAATAGACATTCAGGTTGATTCAGTAACCTATTCCTCAGAGGAGAGCAGCCTCACATAGCATCTGCATTGACACAAACATCCAAAACCATAGGCAGTCTAGGGTGAGGGCCCCTAAGGTCTACCAAAGTACAAATAAAAATGAGGAAAGAGTGGAGCCTTAATTGTGTTGTGTTTAACTTGATCATGTAAGTAGCTTACCCTTTGTAAATAGATTTTCAGAAACAGTTTCTTGTTAAATAGAGCATTTCTTCTAGTCAGCTATTTTTATGCATACTTAATCATCATGATGACCATTAATTTATTTTTATCTAACTGGATCATTTTTAGCATATCCCTTCCACCCATGTGTTTTAAAGTTATGCTTAGGTTTTTGTGGTGAGCAGTGCTGTAAATCTATTTCAACTGTTCTAACAGGAAAAGCGTTCTGACTTTTTTTAAAATGAGCAATCGTATGTGTAATCAACTTGGTTAAAACTTCCTTCCTGGTAAGTGCAGCACTTCCTCTGCATCTGGATATCAAGGCAAGAAAGAAAAGCAGAACAGCTTAAACAAACAAGTTTTTGTATGAATGATTCTTTAAAAAAATAAAGAACTCAAAAATTAAACAAATGAGTCGTCTTCAGTGCCTCAGCATCTACTTTGTAATCAGGTAATATTTCATTGTGTTTTGATAATTATAAAAATGGTGTCCGAGGTTATTTCTTTTCCGGAACATTCAAAATGAATTTTAGCTGGTGTGTCATGCTGTTTCGGTTTAACTGCGTGATATGTTTTAACTTTTTTGGTTCTAATCTTTGCAATCATTAGATTATTGCTTGGTTTGTTTGCCCCCCTCCTTTTCCCTTCAAGCATGTGGGAAGATGCTTTCGTATATAAGATTTCTTTTGGGGAAATGTTGAAATAAAACAACTTAGATTATGATTAGTGAAAGAAAAAATGAAGAACAGGTTGTTTAAGTGCATGTAGTTATCTTTGCCTTTCTCTTTCACTTTATATAATAATAATGCTTCACTGATTTTAAGAAAACAAATTAACATGGACATTAACACTAAAAGATTTTAAAACCGTTTTAGACATTCTTATTTGATGTGGAACATAGTATACTGCCATCAGGTTAGGAGCATTTTCATCTGTAGCCAACTAGGATCTTTGTATGGCAAATGCTTGGTTTTGAATCATTGGCTGTTATCAGTCTTCCAAAATTCATAATTAAAGGAACAGTTCTTAGGGTGCTAAACTACACATTAGATGAACATTAACTGATTATAATTTGTTAAGAAATCCCTGCCCAGCATCTAACAAGGAATTACTGAAAGGTTGGGAGAAGTGAGTGGGGTCAACAGCCTCAATTTCTGGAAGTTTTACAGATGCATTATATTGATTGCTTCCACTGCTGCAATTAACAGATGTTTTCCCCAGAGCTTGGTTAGCATCTTTCTGGCATGTTAGTTCAGCAAAATTTCTTTTAAGTGTTGTCAGAACCAACTTATATTAAATTCTGCACACCCAGAACACAAGAAGTGGGAAAAATCTGCATAAGTCAAATTCAGAAGGGAAGAATGAGTAGGAGCAAGTTTCTAATGTTTGTGTTTTCAGTTTGCTGGGAGTTTCAACTGCTTTGTCCCTCTGAGGAGCTGCTTTAGCTGAGCTGGGATTGATAGTCCTGTGTAAATGCACTATTTTAATTGTTTAAGCACAGTCTTTTATGTTAGGTTTAGAAACAAACACATTGGTGCACATGTGACATCCTGAATAAAAGGTTTATACAGAAACTGGGAATATATAAGGTATATTTTAAGAATTATGATTCTGAAGTGTGGTTAAAACTAACACAAAGAATTAATGCCTTTGTAACAGAATATAGAAAAGTGTAAATGAAACTGAACAAACTGTTTATGTTTTGCTAGATTTCTTCTGGCATGGAGTTGGGGAATCATGAACAGCCTGTTGTTATGAGAGAGGAAAACAAACGGAGGAGGAGAAGAATGAAGCCTTATTGTACAGCAAATAATTTATCTTCAATGGAACTGATACCCATTGAGTTTGTTCTACCCACAAGCCCTAAACATACTAAAACACCAGAAATAGTGACACTCGAAATTGCAGGCAACTGTACTGTTGAGCAGATGAAAGCACAGATTTGGATGCATGCAATAGAAATGAGCCAAACCTCAGACTTCTGCCATAAATACACCCCAGATCAGTTTATTCTTCAGTATCAAAAGAAAGGACAGTGGTATGAAATTTATGACAAACATCAGGTAATTCAGACATTGGACTGTATACTATATTGGAAAGTGTTACAGAAAAAGGTAGGCAAAATCTATGTTGTTCAGAAGCAGAAACCATCAGAGGAAGTTCAAGAATTTCAGAAGCAGCTGAATGACTTAATAGGATATGATGTTACTGATGTAAGTAACGTGCATGATGATGAACTAGAATTTACACGCCGCAGGCTAGTCACTCCACGAATGATTGAAGTAGCCTGCAGAGATCCAAAATTGTATTCAATGCATCCATGGATTACTTCCAAGCCCCTTCCAGAGTATTTGTTTAAAAAGATTACTAATAATAATATTTTTATAAACATACATAGAGGAACAACTAGCCAGAAAATTAAAGTCTCAATAGATGATACTCCAGATATGATCCTTCAGAGCTTTTTCACAAAAATGGCAAAAAAGAAATCTTTGATGGACATTCCTGAAGATCACAGTGAACTGGACTTTGTTCTCAGGGTTTGTGGCAGAGATGAATATATCACAGGGGAAACGCCAATCAAAGATTTTCACTGTATAAGACAGTGCCTTAAGAATGGGGAAGAAATTCACCTTGTGCTAGACACTCCTCCTGACCCTAATGAGGATGAGGTTCAGAAAGAAGAGTGGCCATTGGTGGATGACTGCACAGGAGTTACAGGATATCATGAACAGTTGACAATCGATGGAAAAGATCACGAGAGAGTGTTCACTATATCTTTGTGGGACTGTAATAGAAAATTTAGAGTCAAGATAATTGGCATTGATATTCCAGTGCTACCCAGAAATACTGACATTACTGTATTTGTTGAGGCTAATATTCAGCATGGGCAACAACTCCTTTCCCAACGAAGGACTACATCTAAGCCTTTCACTGAAGAGGTTCTGTGGAATACCTGGCTAGAGTTTGATATTAAAATTAAAGACTTGCCTAAAGGAGCACTACTGAATCTGCAGGTATATTGTGGCAAAACACAGTCATTAGCCACAAAGGCCAACCTTCAGTCACACGATTCTCCCAGTTCTGACTCTAAATGCAAAACCCAGCTTCTCTACTATGTAAATATTTTGTTGATAGATCACCGTTTCTTGTTACGAAGTGGGGAGTATGTGCTTCATATGTGGAAAATTCCAGGTAAGGGGGAAGAGCAGGGAAGCATCAATGCTGACAAACTTACATCAGCAACTAATCCTGATAAAGAAAACTCAATGGCAGTCTCTATTGTTTTAGACAAATACTGCCACCCAATAGCTTTGCCCAAACATAGGATAACATCTGATACTCGGGGAGATGGGGCAAGAACTGAAATGCCAAACCAACTTCGCAAACAGCTCGAAGAGATCATAGCCACTGACCCACTTAACCCGCTTACTGCTGAGGACAAAGAATTATTGTGGCATTTCAGATACGAAAGCATAAAGCACCCTAAGGCATATCCTAAGCTGCTTAGCTCAGTGAAGTGGGGACAGCAAGATTTAGTGGCCAAAACATACCAGTTATTAGCTAAAAAAGAAGCATGGGATCAAAGCACTTTGGATGTTGGACTAACAATGCAGCTTTTGGACTGTAATTTTTCGGATGAAAATGTAAGAGCAATGGCAGTTCAAAAACTCGAGAGTTTAGAAGATGATGATGTTCTCCATTACCTTTTACAACTAGTACAGGTAAGGTGCATTTGCATGTCTTAACATCAGTCTTCTGGAATATTTGCATTATTGCAGAAATGTTCTAATGGTAATAGTGACCCATTGTTCGAGGTGCTCAGTCATAGTCAAAACAGTGCTAGTAAAAGCCAAATAACATTTTTAATACCACTCTTATGGATATTCACAGCTTATATTTACAGAAGCATTTTACTTCAAACTTCTCACAGTTACACTACCAAAAATGCAGCTCCCCGATGATGAGGGATGACAACACATCCTAAACTGTGCACTTTAACTCTGTTCAGACAAGTTCTAGATCAGTGTTTCTCAACCTTTTCAGATTTGAGGCACCCCTGGATAAACTCTAGGCACCCCTCAGGAAATGCCAGCTCTTAGTTTTCACTCAACCCCGTTCCATCTGCCTGGCCATGCACTTTGCTCATGCGGGTCCTGGCCGGTCTCCAGGGAGATCCTGCCCACCCACTCTGTGCAGCGGTGGGTGCAGGGTGGAAAGGCAGGGGGGTGGGGCTGGGTAACAGGGCCAGGTCCAGCAGCAAAGACTGGCAGTAGCAGCTGGAAAAAGCTGCTGCTGCCGGGAAGTGTGTCTGGCTGCTACACTGCCCCAGCCCTGCTGCTTGCCCAGGCGCAGTGGGACCAGCCACCTGTGCCCACACAGCTGGTACACATCACGGGGACATGCAGGGAGCAGATCATGGCTCTGCCCAGGGCCTGGCCGAGCCCTGCACTGTCACTGTCCTACAATCCTAATCCCAGCCTTGGCCCTGGCCCTGCCCCCACCTGCCCATGGCCCCATCCCATCCACTTGGCCTCTTAGGGAGTTTTGATGATCTGTTGTGGGAGAGGGGGGCAAGAAGGTGCTGACCCAGCCCATGATAGGTCACCAAAACTCCCTAAGTGGCCCTCAAGCCCAAATAATTGCCCACCTCTGGTGCAGACAGACTTAAAAAATGCCACTGAGTTGTGTGAGAAGCCTTGCTTTACCTGAACAATTAATGTTTAACACGGTGCCCCAAAGTCTACTTGCCACTTCACAGACTGACTTGGCTCCTATTGAAAAAACAAATCTTTTTTTTTAAATAGAAACTGAAATTTGAAAACAGTCCCTGAACCACCAACAGGTGTTGAAATTCAGTCCAGCTAAGACCACAGCTGGAGGTGAAAAAATAGTGTCTCTATTCAGAGAACTTTATAAACACAGCAAAGAAAATATTTAACAATAAATAACATTGAAATATTCAGACTCTTTCTTTATATTTTTTTCTTATATTTTAACTAGGAACCATTTTTGTTTTGGCGGGGGGGAGGGGAAGCAAGAACATACATGACATGATCCCAACAGTAATAAGCCTCACCTCTTTAGTGAGTCATTTCAGGGTGTTTTATGACTACTGTATGTCAGTATAGTGTTTGGCATGAAAACCATGGAATGTATTGAGACGCATAACAGAAACTAACACATCCAGATTCTGCTGGGTTTATTGCTATTAGTGGTTCAGATTCCTTGTTATCTGAAACTTTAATTTTTTTTTATTAAGACAGAATTGTCCAGCTGTTGGCCTGACGATGCATGTAGTCTGTACAGGGTATATCTGTGGCCTCCGGGCTCCCATTCCCCCTGTCACTCTGGCTGCAGCAGCAGATGGGGTTTTCGAGCTTCTCCTCTGTGCCTGCCCCAAGGAGGGTTGGTGTGGCAAAGTGCAGGTTGCAGTGCTTGGGGAGTCTACAGTGCAGGTGGGGAGCCTGTGGCTAGTGAGCTGGTGGGAAGAAGGGTGGGGGGCCATGCACATGGTGCAGCAGGGAAGGGAGGCAACCCTGGCTCATGCTAGTGTGGCCCATACAGTACATGGCCCCTACTGGTGTGGCCCGCAACCGTTTAAAAGTTGGACAGCCCTGGATTATGCAACAAAAATAAAACTTTAGACTCAATTAATAGCTTTGTTGCTGGTTTTGAGGTTCTCTACTATCACCTACTGTCATCAATGTACTGCACTTTATTAGTGTGAGCTCAGACTGTTTGGGTAGGTCTTCATGTTACTTTTGTTAATCATTTGTTAAATTAATAACATCACTTAAAAACAAAAGGCCAGGCCTATTGTAACATGAACAGACCAAATCAAATGCTAACTTATGTTGAGGATTGGGGCTTGTCCTCACCCCCCTGAGCATTTTTTTCTCTAGAAACCAGTCCTGTGCTTTGCCATCATGTTTCTTCTCATCAGGCTTTGTTCTGTTGATATAATGATTAAACTATAAGAAACTGTAACAAGGTGTTATACATATTTTAAATTTAAAAAAAAACTTTGCTTGCTTTTTTATACATTCTTTAGGCTGTGAAATTTGAGCCCTATCATGACAGCGCACTGGCCAGATTTCTACTAAAACGAGGTTTGAGAGTAAGTACTTCAAAATAGGACCAGTAAGTAATGTTAAAATTACAGTATCATTAAAATGGGCTGTTTCGTAGGATACTGCCATGTATGTTAATTTTAGCATTTTTCTCCATCTCTAGAACAAAAGAATTGGTCACTTCTTATTTTGGTTTCTAAGAAGTGAGATTGCCCAGTCCATGCACTACCAGCAAAGGTTTGCTGTAATCCTGGAAGCTTACCTGAAGGGCTGTGGAAAAGCCATGCTACATGATTTCATGAAACAGGTTCAAGTAATCGAATTGCTGCATACAGTCACAATGGAGATAAAATCTGTTTCTGCTGAAAAGTATGATGTCACTTCTCAAGGTATTTGTTTATAGGTATTTTTCTGTTTCTTACATTAACTGTCTTTCTATCATGTGTGTTAAATCTGTTCAGCAAACTGTTCTGTGTCTTTGTGAAATCCATGAAGGTTAACTATTGCTATTGCTGTTGGGCATCATAATTACTGTACTATTTTAGTGGCCAGCGTTAATGGTTGGTGTCAGAGGAGTCAGTCATACATTCATTTGCAAAAAAACAAACAAACAAACAAACATTTACAAATAAAAGTAGAACCCATCTAGAGTAGTATGCTTACCAGTTTCCTGTGCTCCTTGTGGCTTTGCAGAACTCAAATGTTGCAAAACTGGGAGATGCAGAAGTACAGTACTCTACAGAGTCTTTGGCAGAATGTTAGAGAAGCAAGAAAAAAACAAATGCTACAAGAAATGGAGGTGACACTTGCCACCAGGCATAATCTTAGTTGCACTTTGATCCCTGTTATAAGAAGTCACTAAAGTTTCTGTACCTTACTCTTCATCTTCTTGATAAATGCAATCTCTGCCTATCCTATTTTAATATTTAAGTTGTTCGTATATGCTTTTGTAATGGACAAACCATCTGAGCCAGGCATATTGAACAATGTTGAATGAAACGTATTTGTTTTTAAATGACTAGTTCTTGAATTCACTTTACAGATTTTATAAGGCTGAGGCCTTTATTCAGATCTACAATACATTTTGCACGTACTATTATGAACATAGTTTTCCCATGATATGGGAAGGAAAGTAGTGAATATATGAGACCTCAGATAAAATATTTTTCAGGAAATCCCATTCTAAATTTGTCTGAAATTGGTGCATGTTCTAACCTACAAGTGTTTAAATAGTTTTTTCACTGTAGTGAGTCAAAGCTTCATTTAAAAATGTATGTAGTTTTATTACTTGGAAAAGGAAAGAAATATCTTTCATTTATTAATATGTCTCCTGCTTTCCAAACAGGTATTTTATTCCTTATCTTTGCTACTATTGAAGCACCAGTTCAGTGTTCTCACTATATTTCTCATGCCTACTCACACCATGGGCTGTCCCACTAATACCTATCTATCTGGTTCTTTAAAATATGTTATTTTGCCTTAACCTTCTCCCTTGGTTTTATGTCACTGCTTGGTTACTCAACAGGAAACATTTCTTAAAAAGTGTCTTTCCTCCTTAACTTCAGGCTCTTGCTTTTTTTTCCCCTACCATCTTTACTGACTTAATACTGTCGTCATTTATACCGGATTGCGTTAAGTAAGTATGGCCTCAGCAGAGATTCTGGATTCTTGTTCCATTACCTGCACTAGCTTTTATAACCCTTTAGTCCCACAGTGGGTCAACTGTTTTATCCCTCTTCAACCCACCTTCATCTCTCTTAGCTTTGCCCCACTATCCTTTCCTCCTCCTTTCCCTGTCCTCTGTATTTTAATTACTTTATTCTGTTCTGTTTAGTACTCCTGCTCTCTGCAAGTCAATTCATAACATCCGAGGAAACCACAAAAACCTGTGCCTTTCTGCATGAATCGGTCTTTACATTGCCACCCTGCCCTGCCTTCTACCTGCCTTTATACACTCAATCTGAATGCACTGAACACTGAACCCTTTCCTTTTTTGTCTTACCAGTTTCCAGTTGCTGTCTTCTAACTTTTGCATCTCTCTTCCTGTCTTCTCAGTTTGAATTCAGTCCTGTTTATATCTTCCTTTAATATAGGTGTACAGGATTCCAGGAACAGTCATACCAGCATTTTACAGAATGGTGGCATTTCCCTAATTTTTCTTATAAGTCTTATCATTACATAGCATTTTTCCCCTTAAAACCACACTGTAAGTTTTTACTTGGCTTGCTGTCTGTACTCATGCCTGAGTCAGTATTGGATTAATTATTGTTGATTACTGTTCCAAATAAGTATTTGTGCAATTGTTTCCTCTCTTTTGGTTCCTGTACTGTGTCCTTAAAATAGATCAAGCTGGAAATCTCATTATTAATAAGTACTTTCCATTCATGATTTTCATCAGTTCATTCCTAGCCTTTAACATGACCACATACAATAAGATGCCTGTCTTGTACCTGACTTACTAAAATTAATACAGTCTATGTCTAGAGTACATTTGTCTATTAAATCAGTAAGTTCATTTTAGAAAGCCAGGAGATGGCATATTTTAATGAAACATTGTTTCTTCTTTTTTTTTTAAAAAAGGTGTCTAATTATGGTGTTCATGTATTAACTCCTTTATACTGCATTCAAACAGATTTCTCAGAATAGATGCATCCCAGAATGTGTCTGTAAATTTTACTTCTTAAAAATGTTAAATTTGACCTGTTTAATACAAAGAGTGCTTTCCAGTATATTGCAGATTTACCATGGTTGCAAGCTGCAACAGAACAATGTATTGCGTATATTATTAGCCATACCAATTTACCATGAAGGTTAGAAATCTGGAGGCTTTATGCAAATGCATCATTGACCCAGTTTAAATATATGAATATTCATCACATTATTTACCTAACCAACAGCATGTATTCTGTTTACCAGAGTTTAAGACTGACAGAGCTATAGTATGGAACAAGCTTTAAGAACATAGGAATTTCTTTGCCTCCTGCAGGCCTTCGCATTTTGCATTTGGCTGGTATCTGTGTAATTGTTGGCTAATAAAGGCTATGCCCCTAGTAGCTTCATGGGTTTGCTTTTCTCAAAGGCTAAGTACAGACAGTCAAAAAGCCAGAGACTGAATCGATTCAGTTGTTGCAGGTTAGTCTAAGCTGCGCAGATTGAACCAATAAGCAAACGAACAGATATTCACTTTTGATTCAGGAAATGCAGCCGCATGCCTGCAGTGGCTTGAGCCAGAAGCTTAGAAGTGCTAGATCCAGCCACTGCCAAAGGGAAGGGAAGAGAGAAGCCCTCCAAGGCTTTCCTGTCCCTCCCTGCTCCAGAGAAGTGGGTGTGGTCAGGCACCAGCAGGGACTAGCTCACTGGAGGGCACAGGGACCCCATCCCAGGTCTGCCTGGGAGTTGGGGGCAGTGCCTGCCAGCATAGGCAAAGGAAGAAAAAAATTTGAGGGGGGGGAGCTGAGCATGCGCGCGCATATGTGCATGCACACACTCCCTCCCAATGGGAAAGTCTGTAGGGAGAGGGGAAAGGGCTGCGGGGGAGGAACAGTGTTGCCTGATGCCATGCCGTGCCGGCCCCAGCTGCCTCCCATCCCTGGCTGCACTGGCCCCAGCGGCCGTGGCTGCCTCCCGGCCCTGCTGCACTGGCCACGGCTGCCTTCTGGCCCCCAGCACCAGCTACTTCCTGGCCCCAGTTGCGCATCGCCCAGAGGGGTCCAGAGCCAGGGGCCGGAGTGGGGCCAGCCTCAGCTCCTTACCTCTCTGCTCCCACTGCTTCAAAAGTGGCGGGTGCTGCCATGTGCCTCCCGCCGCAGGGCAGGCCAGGCAGCGAGGCACATGGCACCGCACCATGCCACTTTCAGAGGAGCGGTGGTGAGGCGCAGAGGCAAGGGACAGAGCCCAGCTCGCAGCTGCTGCCTGCTCTTGCCCTGTGCACAGATCGGAGGGCCATATGCCCCTCCCCTGTGCCTCCCTGGCACCATGCCATGCCTCTGGAAATGCTGCCAGGCTCCAATTGTCCCACAGCCTGGCCCAGCCAGGGTCCTGTTCACTGTGAATGGGGCTCCAGCAGGGCCACATAGTGGGACAATCCCCACAGTGCAGCAGGGGTGAATAATTCGCCTTGGCCCTACCCCACTGCCTCCTGCACTGTGTGGGTCTTGATCTCCTTCCCCCCCCCACCAGCCCAGGTAAAGAAAGAAACATACCTGCCTGCTGGGCTGCATGGGATCCTCCCAGCTGCGTGCTGCAGGGTATCCAAGTATGTGTGTCCCTCCCCCCTACTGCAACAGGTTAGTCTAAGCTGTGCAGATTGAAGCACTAAGCAAATGAACAGATATTCACTTTTGATTCAGGAAATGCAGCCACATTCCTGCAGTGGCTTGAGCCAGAAGCTCGGAAGTGCTAAAACCAGCCACTGCCAAAGGGAAGGGAAGAGAGAAACCCAGGTTGCCATGCCCTTTAGCCATACCTGCTGCCCTGTGTTTGGGGGGGCTGAGCCCAGTTAGCCCCCCTCCCCCCACTTCCACCACCTGTGCCTGCCAGGCTTCTGCCCCTCCTCCCCACCCTCCAAGGGGCTGTGGGAGGGGCAGCCACTTCCAGACTGAGGAGAGGGGTGTGGGAAAAGGTAGTGGCACTGAATTCATAAAAGTTTGAACAAAAACAGTCCTTTCTCTGAAGCGAGTATGTATTAAACATAGAACTTTGCAACCTCAAGCACATGACAGCAATCAAAAACCTTCGCCTAAGCTAAGATACAGCCTGGTCAAAAACAGTGATAGCACACACAGCTTAGTTTAACATAAAGTGGAATGTAATAAATCATAAAGACAAGAAAAAGCCTTGCATAGGTCTTAGGTGTAGGTAATCCTGAGGGCACAGTGTCTCCTTACAGACAAGTATTCAGATAGTCCTTGCTTAGGCATTCCAGTCTCCCATCTTTTGCAGGTTCTGCTTCATAATGTAAATGTAGTTCTCTGCTTTTGTTGGTCACACTAGCTCAAGCTGTCTGGGACCCTCTCCTGTTCCTCCATCTCTACCACATACATGTGATGATTGTGCCAGGTCTTTGTCAACACCTCCCACCTTTCAGTCTGGTCTTGCAGGACTTGGCACCAGCACACTGAGCTGGGGAAGGGGGGATTAAAGCTCCTCCCAGACCCCAGAAGGGTTTACCTGGGGGGGCAGTCCTTCTCAGGCTGTAGCCCTGCCCCCTCTGCTCCAGGGGGGAAAGGTCTGGCAGGGGCTGTCTCCCTCCTCTCTCTTTCCCCCTGCCCCCCCCACAGACCTGGCTGCGGTCTCCAGCCAGGTTTCTCACTCCCACCCCCTTGTCAACCAGCCCTCACTGCTCCGGCTACAGAGCACAGGGGTCGGGCTAACCCTGCTCCCTAAAGCAGACAGCACAGCCCAGCCCAGGTCTCCAAAACATGTTGGGATGCTGAGGGACACTGATTTAACTTGAACCAGGAAGGGGTCTGGGACAGAACTTCCATAAACCAGTTTGACCTCCATCAGTCAAGTTTGACACTACATTCAACCAGGTTTATCTTAAACCAGTTTTGACCATTTTGAAACTGGTTTATGTGCACTGAACTTCTGTTCTGTTACAGGTTTAAACCAGTTTCTGATCACTTAGACTGATTTATGTGTAACTTCTGTCCCTAGCCCAAGTAGTTGAGAGAGGGATCTTGTCGCTTCTTGCCCTTGGTTTGAGGAGGCTGCGACTGGGAGGGCTGCCTTCATGGCTATTCCTTGCTCTGTAACTTGTGTCTCAAGCTGAGCCTGGCTTCCCATGCAGCCTGGCTATAGCAGGGCAGGAGCAGCTCTGGACTCTCTCAACCCACCTCTGCCTCTGTCTCCAGCTGACCTAGGAGGAGGGGGAATGCAAGGAAAGAGGGATGTGCCGCTGAGCATGGGATGAAAGGGAGGGGATGCCAAGAGTGGAGAGTGGCAGAGAGCAGGATTCTTACCTGATTCAGAGACTTAAATAGTCTCTGCTGCTCCTACAGCATGTTTTGGCTGCCCCAGTGTCAGAGCAGAGGTGGAGCCACCCATGCAGTGCCAGTGGCTGCTTCTGCACCCCACTTCCCAAAATCCCATGATCTGCCCATGACTATAAGGGTATGAACCTTCGTTTGCTTTTACATTTTAAAGATAAGGACAGTTCTCATGTAGTTACCTGACTTCAGGAGTTGGAGCAATAAGAAAAACACTTACTATGTGAGATGTCTGGTAATATTCAGGGAGTCAGTGACACTGTGGCTAGCTCAATATAGCTAGAGGGCTGAGGACTTCAACTTTATAAATCCTTTATGAAGCCTCCTTATCCATAGAGATGCAGCATGGACAGCCTTCTTGGGTCTCCAGACTGCAGGATTGTATCCGGAAGTCCTAGACTCAAGCAATTCTAAAAGCTGCTAAAAACAGGATCCTTCAAGCAAGTCTTGAGATGTAATGGGTCTGATGAGGTGCAACATTTTGCTTCCGATTATTGAACCCAATAACTGTGACTCTTTTTTGTAATTCCAGTTATCACACAGCTTAAACAAAAGCTGGAAAAACTGCAGAACAACAAACTTCCAGAAAGCTTCAGAGTACCGTATGACCCTGGACTGAGAGCAGGGGCACTGGTGGTAAGTGTATTTGATTCTTTACATATTCTTCATAGTTTGAAAATGTTTTCTCTGCAAATAATTTGATTTACCAATATATCTCTATAACTTTTCCGATGGAATTAGAACATAAGAGTTGCAACAGTGGAGCAGATCAAAAGTCCAAGTAGCCCAGTACTCGGTCTCTCACCCTGGTAAATAACAGGTGCTTTAGCGGAAGAGTACAAGAAATGGGTCATATGTAGTGACCTGTCATATCCCTGCAGTTATATCCCTGCCAGTTGCTTAATAGCCCATGCTGGACCAGGTCTCCATAGATTTGTCAAACAGGAAAGGGCTCTAATGGACTTTAAGAGAGAGGACTCCCAAGTTGTAATACAGCTGCTTTATCTTACGTGCCACTGCCCCCTGTGACTTGACTTCTGCTGAGATCCTCATCCATGCCTTTAACTCATTTCTCTTGGACTCCTCTATTCCTTCACAAGTCCCAGGATTAGAACTGATAGAAGCAGAAGACCATGTCTTGTGTTGAAAGAAGGCTGTTCACCAGACACTAAACCTCAGATGATTCTGGCTTCCCATTAGCTTCAGGATCTAGGTTGTATTTGGCTTTCTTTTATCTAGAAACCTCTGTAGAACTGCTCCAGTCAGCTTCACTGGTTTTGAGTCTCTAGACCTCTGACTATGTGCCCTTTAAATCTGGTTTGGTCTCACCTCTGAACCTCCATATCATTGAGCAATTGTTATAGAAACTTCTTGTTCTGCCTTTCAAAATAATCTTCCTGTATCTTTTTAATGAACTACATTTTTCATATTTAAATCGGCATAAACATTCTTTCCCTCTCCTGCCCTCCTCCCCACAATTTTCCTCTCAATTATCTTGCTGTTTCTTTCTGCAAGTGTATCATTTGATTCTAGAAAGCATTTGGAGATGGAGTTTGTACAAGTACAGAAAATATGTTGTTGTTTAGTGTGGAAAGAAGTCATAGATAACATTTTTATTTGCAGGCATTTTATGCTTATGCTTCAAATGCAGTTCAGTCACAGAATCTGTTTTCTGCAAAATGCTTTCTGGTATAAACATGTCCTCCTTCATACTTGATTAATGTAAATGCTGAGTATTGTAAATGCCTAGCTAGATGGTAAAATAGTAATTGCTGCAAAAGAAACATGATCACAAGTACACGTCTGCCAGATTAAGAGAATGAAGTGGTGGGATACTGTCAGATCAGTTTAGTGGTGGATGAGACACACAGATACCATACATCAGTCACAGTCGCCTTGGTGGCAAGGCAGCTAATTTACCTGGCCTGGCTCTTCCTAGGCTATATCTTCCTTTTGTTTTCTGCACACTACATTTGAAATAATAAAATGTCTTTGATCACAAATCATAATGGTCACTATAGTGAAGTTTGAATTTCATCTTCCAGTCAATGCACTTTCCAGTTTGCTATAAAACCCTTTTAGGCTGAAGTTTTCAGCCAAATATTAAGCAGGTGGTTTAACACCTAATCATGTAGTCCAGATGATTTAGAATAATTACATTACATTGAAAGACTTTAAGTTTGAAATGTCCTTTCACTGCTAATGGCTTTAGTAAAGGGCTGTGCTTAAACCAGTTTCAAAGATAAGCTTTTGTAAACACATAAAACAGCTCTGCAAAGACTATCACATCCTTTAACTAACTACCAGTATATTGGAAAAACATTAAATAATGGAATTTCCTGAGCCTTGGTGCTGGATTTCTCAGTCTTAAAGTTGAATTGATGGTAGGGGAGATGATTATTTTCACATTTTATATATAATTACGTTACCACTGTTGTGCTACCATAATGCTTTATTTAAAAGAGTTGCCCAAGGGAACCAACTACAATCAAGAGATTAAGGACAAATTTCACACCCTCTGATGTCAACGGGAATTTTGTGGGGGGAGGAGGCGGCTATAAATATACTTATGTTCTGCTGGTTGACTAATAATGCTATTGCATGGTTCCATATTTGTCTCCCTATGATTTCAGAAAATCATATTCTTGAGTTGTAAATACAAAGTGATCTTTTTTCTAGCCAAGACCACTTTAGCCTGACTCTTTCCAGCTCACACATTGCCATCAATATTGAAAGT